TAACAGCTTTAATGTTTTGCCTAGTGTATACCAATATGTTATAGTATCTATAATATTGCATCATTTTGATTGTAATACTAATGTTTAATTATGTTAATTATATTACAATGAACTAACTTTAGACCTTGATTTATGAGATTTCTTTACTATAATAAAAACTATATAGTAAAACATTTACCACCATAATCATTTTTAGATGCACCCATTCAGCTCCGAAAATATACAGATAGCATTATAAAGAGTAAACAAGTTATAACTATAAATATGTATGTATATACATAAATGCATGACAGGGTTTCTCTGTATAGACCTGGCTGTCCTGGAACTCACTCTGTAGACCAGGCTGGCCTTAAACTCAAAGATCTGCCTACCTCTGCCTCAAAACTGCTGTGACTAATGAGGTATTCAACCATGACAAATGGGTGGGGCAATGAATCTGAAGCAGAGCTGGGAGAATTTTGTGAAAGGATCTGGAGAAAGAAAAAAAAAAGAAATCTTATAATCTCAAAAATAAAAATAAAAAATAAAATAATTCTTTCATAGTTTGGAACCAATCTCTAGACCCCTTTTATCTTACAATCTAAAACTGTTCACAGTAAATGGTAGCTACACTTTCCTTTCACCCCCAGACCCTTATAACACCAATTTTTAGTGTCTTTGAATTTGAGTAGTGTAGTATCTCATGTAAGTAGATTAATTCAGAATTATTTTAGCTTCTTTCACTTTCAAGTTTCATCCACAATGTAGTACATATCAAAATGTCTTTCGGTTTTAACAACAAATAATGCTTCATTCTATTTTCATGTCAGATTTTCTTTGTCTACTCATATTAATTGATGGATGTTATTTACGTCTTTTGACTACTGTCAGTCATTTAGCTCTAAACACAGACATACAATTGTAAGCATATATGTATATGTATGTGAATGAATGATGTATACTGTGTAGCAAGGAACTGTGTGACTGGAAGGGCCTTAGTCAGGGTTGGTGCCTTCCTGTGAGCCCTCCGATAAGCAGTCCCCAGGGAATTGTGGAAAGAGTGGTGTTTTTTGACCCCTTTGGTCCAATTAATTTTATTTTCATCCTCACTAAGTAGAAACCACTCACTTTTTTCTTGTTTCCCCTTGAAGCAGCTCATAGACAGGTCAGTCTCCATGTGGGTTCCCCAGTAAGGGGGGAAGAGACAGTCTCTGACATGAACTCAGTTGCCTGCTACTGTTCACTTCTCCCTGGTGGAGACTTCTAGCCAGCCCCCAGAGGAAGAAGATCCAGGTAGTGGTACTCATGGGACCTGATAGGCTAGGGCCAGACAGTAGAGGAGGAAGACTTCCCCTGTCAGTGGACTAGGGAAGAGGGGTAGGAGAAGAACAGTGAGGGAGGGTGGGACAGTGAGGAGATGAGGGAGGGGGCTACAACTGGTATACAAAGTGAAAAATTTAAATAATAATAATAATAATTATAATTATAATAGTACAAAAAATATAAAGTATGAGTCTCCTGAATCTCAGTGAAGCACAGAGCCCCTCTGAGATTCTGAACTTCTTATCTCTTCTCTGTGTTTACATCTCCTTCAAGGGCCAGTTAAATATCAGCTTTTGAAAAAACATGTCCAATGTTTACTTTTATTTTCACCATAGTCTTTATGGATATAAGATCTGTTGACATTGTAATGAACTTGCCAGATTCATAGAGAGGTTATGACCTGGTTATCTCAAAATCTGTATTCAATCAACAATGCTATTATCAAAACATATTCATCTTAAGTCAGCTGTGAACTCTCTTTGCTTTAACTTGAAAAGAAACTGCTCTTTTTCTTTTAATTTTTTCTTCTGTTTATCATTGGCTTTCTTCTCTTTTTCATGGAACTTATAATTATTGGCTTAACATTCATGGACTTGAGTTAGATATGAATGCTTTAAATGAATGTGTATGTGTGTTAGCCTGTGAGTATATGTGCACCACATAGTTACTGAAGCCTGTGGCAGTTGGAGTGGGCTGGATGCCCTGATACTTGTGGTTACACGCAGCTGTGAGCTGCTGTGTAGGTGCTGGTAGCGGAACCAGAACTCTTTGCAAGAGCAGCAAGTGCTTTTTACCACTGAGACATCTCTCCAACTTTTTGATTCAATTTTTAACTTATCTAGCCTTATTTATACCCATACCAAATACTAGTTGATAAAATAATGTAACATGGCTGAAAAATATTGAATGTGTGATGTGACCCTTTCCCAGGGTCACCTGATACAGGAGAACCTCCTTCCCTTCTATCTGACCCTAGCCTATCAGGTCTCATCAAGGCTGGCTGCATCATATTCCTTTGTGGCTTGGAAAGGCTGCACCCCCAGGGGGAGGTAAACAAAGAGTCAGCTACTGAGTTCATGTCAAAAACATCCCTTGAAAGCTGAAAGACAGCCCCTTTTCTACTTACTAGAGAACCCACTTGGAAACTCATCTTCCTCCAAAAAGAGGGTCTAGATCCTCTCCATGCAAGGTCCTTGGTTGGAGTATGGGCCCAGATGTTTTTACTCTGTTGTTTTCCTTGTGGAGTTCCAGTCCCCTACAGGTCTTTCTTTCTCCCCCTTCTTATATAAGGTTTCCGGCACTCTCGCCAAAGTTTGTCTATGAGTCTCAGTATCTCCTTCGATACACTGATGGGTAGTCTTCCAGAGGTCCTCTGTGGAAAGCTTTAGTCCTGTTACTTGTCTTCTCCTACTTCAGATATCTATCCTGTTTCACATTCTGAATGAGGATTAAACATCTTCCCTAGGGTCCTCCTTATTATTTAGCTTCTTTAGGACTATAGTTTTTGGTATGATTACCCTATATTATACGGCTAATGTCCATTTATAATTTAATATATGCCATAAATGTCTTTCTTCTTCTGGAGTTACCTCACTTAGGATGATCTTTTCTAGTTCCCATCACTTGCCTGCAAATTTCATGATTTCCTTGTTTTTAATTGCTGTGTAGTATTTCATTATGAAAATGCACCATTTTCTGTATCCATTCCTTTGTTGAGGGACATCTAGGTTGTTTCCAGTATCTGGCTATTACAATAAAGCTGCTATGAACATAGTTGAGCAAATGTCCTTATTGAATGGTGGGCATCTTTTGGTTATATGTCTAGGAGTAGAATAGCTGGATTTTTAGGTAGCAATATTCCTAATTTTCTGAGAAAGCACGAGTTGGATTTCTAAAGTGGTTGTACAAGATTACATTCCCACCAGCCATGGAGAACTGTTTCCCTTTCTCCACATCCCCTCCAGCATGTGTTTTCACTTGAGTTTTTGATCTTAACCATTCTGATGGGTGTGAGGTGAAATCTCAGGGTCGTTTTGATTTGCATTTCCCAAATGTCTAAGGACATTGAACATTTCTTTAAGTGTTTCTCTGCCATTCGATATTCCTCCGTGAAAATTCTGTTTAGCTCCATACCTCATTTTTTAATTGGATTACTTGGTTTGTTGGTGTTTAATCGTACTCATATTTAACCTGAAAAAGTATGTAAACACCACCATACCATTCAGTGATAATATCTCTCAGGTTGGTGTTGGGATGCAATGAAGCATTTCTGAATAGTATAGACTTATATACACAAGGAACAATCCATTTGCTAAACAACACACTTGCAAACATTTACTGTGTGTGATTAAAATTTACATTTCTATCTGATTATTTATCAGCACTAGATACATAGTATTTAGTATGTAAATAATTTCAGATCTATAAATAGGTACTAGTGAAAATATCATAAAATATGAAGTTAGTGATATTATGAAATATTCTTTGGAAAGATAATTTTGTACATATAAATACTCAAACGTCTAACTGTAACTAAGTAAACAGTGGAGTTGCAATAAGTTAAAAATTGAAGTGATTCATTGCATGTAGTTAGTTTAAAACATAATGAGTGTTAACAACACGGTAAAATCAATTATTTTTTCTTAAGCACAGAACCAATTATTTTAAAATTTTCCGGTTTTTTTCTTTCTTCTTTTTTATTATTCACTTTGTATCCCAGCTGTAACACCCTCTCTCATTCACTCTCAATCCTATTCTCCCTCCCTCATCTCCTCCAATGGCCCCTCTCCAAGTCCACTGGTAGAGGAGGTCCTTCTCCACTTGCATCTGACCCTGGCCTATCAGGTCTCATCAGGAATGGCTGCATTGTCTTCCTCTGTGACCTGGTAAGGCTGCTCCCCCTCAGGGGGAGGTGACCAAAGAGCCAGCCACTGAGTTCATGTCAGAGACAGTCCCTGTTCCCCTTACTAGGGAACCCACTTGGATGCTGAGCTGCCATGGGCTACATCTGAGCAGGGGTTCTAGGTTATCTCCATGCATGATCCTGGATTGGAGTATCAGTCTCAGAAAAGACCCCTGGGCCTAGATATTTTGGTTCTGTTGCTCTACTTGTGGAGCTCCTGTCCCCTCCATGTCTTTCTATATTTCCCTTCTTTCATAAGATTCCCTGCACTCTACCCAATAGTGTCTCTGTTGATCTCAACCTGGTTAGTACTGACTTTGAAAGCAGTAGTCAATTTACCATTGAGATTCTTTCTATTTAACATCACTAAATTTTAATCTGCATTACTTTTAATGTGAAGCAACAAAGGTGTTGAGTTTGAGGTCAGTATGGAATGCATAAATAGTTCCAAGATAAGCTGGGCTCTACAGTGAGACTCAGTCAATCAATCAGTCAACCAACCAACCAACCAACCAACCAACCAACCAACCAACCAATCAATCAACAAGTGCATCTACCTATGATCACTCTAGCTTATGTTGTTGTACTGTTTCTTAGATTTTTATTAAGATTTCCTTGTGTGCAGTGTAGCTGTGAATTCATTTTTATGTATGTGTCTTCATTAGTTGTGTCATTTTTCATATTAGCAAGTTAGTGCTATGCCACTAGAAATACCTAATAATCTTCCCACTGCATTTGTCTTATTAATATCTGTTAATGAGACAGATTATTTTTACAAAAATATTCCCAACTGTAGATTGAAAGACACGACAGCTGTGCCTACGACCACCTGGAAATTCGGGATGGAACCAGTGAAAACAGTCCTTTGATAGGACGGTTCTGTGGTTATGACAAGCCTGATGACATAAGATCTACTTCCAATACTCTATGGATGAAGTTTGTTTCTGATGGGACTGTGAACAAGGCAGGGTTTGCCGCTAACTTTTTTAAAGGTAATTTTCAACAGCTTACAAATTTGAGGTTTGTTTTAATTTTTCATAGCATTATACTTTGAGTCTTGGCAAAACTGGATTGCAGTTCACTGCAAGTTGAAGTATGCTCTCATATTCTGTAACTAGTGTATATTACTAGGAAAAAGAAAAGCTATTTTAATTCAAAAGTTACATCAAACTTACATGTAGGAAATTTATAGGCACTGATTTGAAGTGTATCACATGTAAATGAAAATAGGAAGAATATACAAATCTTCCTTTGTGTTGGCTTTTATAGGATAAATAGGTCAATTTATGTATGCCAAATTCACCATTAGGTAGCTAAGTGTTTCCCTTATTTAAATAGCACAGTTCATTTTCATCAAGAGTTGTTCAGGAGTTCACTATATAAATTGAAAGGTGGGTAAAGTTATCATTTCAGCTATACAAGTTTATTAAAACATGCATTAACACATGTAAAATCTTTCGGATATGTCATGTGTCAGTGATAAAAACACTACCTTTTGTGTTTATGTGTTTAGCTGTCAAAGTTCTTAATATTTTGCGCATATGTGTCTTTGTAAGGTGTACATATTTGCATAAATCATATCAGTTTATTTATGAAGAGTGTAGGTATAGAGTACTTTGTCTTTGTACATTTAAAAATAATGCCTATTATATCTGCATCTGAAAAGATTGCACTGAAGCTTATTATGCATTAATATTTATTGGCTATATATAACATAATTGATGTACATTTACATTATGTTTTATACAATAAACAGCATATATTTATACAAATAAATGTTTATATTATAAATATTTTATAAAAACCACTGTAACCATGAAAAAAATCTAGTCAACTACTAAGTTTCCCTATATTTTAAATTTGTTGTCACCACAGTCTACTTCTTGATGATGACATTTGTTTAAAGCATTTGTGTGGAGTGTGTTTATGTGCATGTGGTATTTATGTGTGTGTGAATATCTGTGTGAATGTCTGTGTGTCTATAGGTGCTAATAAGTACATCCAGGGCTTCTCATATATAAATCATATATTCTACCACTCAACTGTATGTCTCCAGTTTCTAAAAGCATGTTCTCAGATATATTTAAGAAATTATGAATAAATTGTAATTAATAAAAATTAAAATAAAAAAAGAAATTATGCTGTGAACTCTTAAAGTGATGCTGTATTTTTTCAACTAATTCCAAAACATCTCTGGATTTACTGATCTCCATTTGCCCTTATGTTCAGAAACAAAACACACTACACATGAGATAATGGGACTTTCATTGCCCCTGTAGCATGTAGGTTTCCGGACGCTCCCTGTTCTCTGGTGTCAGTTGCCATACCATGCTTTCCTACATACAGGTCAACGGCAAAGGCTTATCCCTCAGACCCTGTGCTGAGAAATCAGTTTACTGTTTTATTCAGAGCCACTAAGCATCATATTTTATTTAGCCTTGTTAACAGAGACTAAGCACTCTAGTTGTTCTGTGTCTTTCTTGATTTTATAGAAGAAGATGAGTGTGCCAAGCCTGACCGAGGAGGCTGTGAACAGAGGTGTCTTAACACACTGGGCAGCTACCAGTGTGCCTGTGAGCCTGGCTATGAACTGGGGCCAGACAAAAGAAGCTGTGAAGGTCAGACCTCTGTCTTGTCTCTGTGTTCTTTGTCTCGCCCTCTCTCTGTTTCTCTGTCTCTGTCTGAATCTCTCTCTCTCTCTCTCTCTCTCTCTCTCTCTCTCTCTGTCTCTCTGCTTTCATTTTTTTCCCCATAGCAAATACAGCTGACATAAAACCTCACCTGGTCTCTTGTCATTAACCTCTGTCCTTTCCTCTTTTGGTTATGAAACATGTATGTGTTTCTAGCTCTGCTTTCTCCAGCATCTAGCGCTCAGCTTCCTTTCCCCCACTCTCTCATCATTCCTACAGTCATCTATCCTCCCCTCCCAGTATCAGAACTCTTCTCCCTCCTTTCTGTTCTTTGTGCATGAATGTATTCTTTCACAAGTGTTCATCTACATATTTCTATATATTTTGTTTTTATTGTTTTCTTGACATACTATATGCATAGATCATACTTGTTCACTTGTTAGATTAACCAGCCCTAATTTCACCATCTTCATATCTTCATCATCTACCACAGACATAAGTAAGCATTTAGCAAAAATTTAAACATATATTTATGATTTAACAAATTATTATACAATGACTTTTTGTTGTGATTATCCATATTTCTTCATTAAAATCTCACATGAGGGTTTATGAACAATGTTTTGTTACCAGGAACTGTAATCTCTATATTAACTACTGCTATTGCCATCTGCAGCTCCATGCCAGAGCTTTGCATGTCACAAGCAGGTGCTGAATCACTGACCTGTATCCTCCAGATTAACATGACTATTCATGTTAATAGCGGCTCCTAGAAATAAATCCATCTTTTCATAGTCATTTATCAAAAGCCTAGTAAAAATGAGTGTACCAGTAACTAAATATTTACTAATATGGTATGAACACACATACCTGTGTGTTACATGAGCATGTAAACATGCCAGTAGTCTCAGGCAACTACTGAACATCCCAGGAATCAGTTATAAGCTGGGTGTAGTATGTGCTCATTTTATTCAACTTCCCTTGTAATACTCTGACTTTGGTAATTCCAATAGCAACCAAGAAAGGACATATAAACAGTGTCTACCCCAAAAAAGACCATTAAATAGCAAAGAAAAAGTTGTTAAATGAAATTCTTTGGAATAACATGTTTTATCTGCTATTTTATCTTTCTTGCTAGTATATGTTAAATGGCCTTACTTGCCTTTCAATACTGTAAAGCAATTTTTAAAAGTAGGTTTGTGTATTAGAACATTTTATGATATCTATCATCAATCTACTTATCATCTATATCTATCTATCATCTTTCCATAATCATCTACGTCTGTTTGTATGCCTCTCTCTGCCTATTATTTCTCAACTATCTATTTCTATTTAGCCATCATCTCCCAATCATTTATCTATTATATATCTCTATGTATGTTTTTCTTGTTTTCCACAATTTTACTAATTTCCAAAAAAGTTATTTTAATTTTTTAGTCATCAAGATACTGTAAAATATTTTACATGTATTTAGAAGAGAAAAAAAAATATGGACCTGGTTTTGTGTTATTCACTTAAACTTTGAAGAAATTTAAAATGTTATACTTTTGCCATAATTTGCATTGCCCCAAGCTACTGATTAATGAATGGGATCTGATGACAAAACCTTTTTACTAAAAACCAGGGCCTACGTACACAGCTTCTAGAGTTGTCAACTAGAAGCTGCTTCGCATTTAATGCTGACATGGTGGGTGATGGATTGGGAGGTGCAGAGTGGGGCGCCTCCATTAAGGAGCAAACTTTTCTCTTCCAGCTGCTTGCGGAGGACTCCTTACGAAGCTCAATGGCACCATAACCACCCCTGGCTGGCCCAAAGAATACCCCCCAAACAAAAACTGTGTGTGGCAAGTGATTGCGCCAAGCCAGTATAGAATCTCTGTGAAGTTTGAGGTTTTTGAATTGGAAGGAAATGAAGTAAGTGAACAATGTCAGCAATGTCTTTACCGTGTTTTGAGACCCGGAAAGAGCACGAGACGCTACGTAAATGTCCCTTCATTACTTCTGCAAGTACTTATGACTCTGCTGGCATGGGTGATACCTAGTTTTGTCTGGGAGACTGAAAATTACCTGGAAGGTTTTTCAGTTAATTTAAAGTACAATATTTTCAAAATTCACAAAATCACTACAGAGTATTTAGGATATGCTTTCATATTACATAAATAATTTTAGTAAAATAATAAAAGAAAACCAAAAAATAATTGAATGAGATAAAAAATGTCCAGTTATGAGAAAGGTATATTCTACTTTTGGAAATTAGTGTATTTTCTTATGTATGTATTTTTTCATTTATGGATTGTACTTGTGGTTAACAAACCAAAATATTAATTTTAGCATAAGAAAATATAAATTTAGGTGACGTTATTCCTGTTCAATATATAGCTTATTGGACTGACAGCTCAGCTTTTTGAAAGATGAACACATAGAAACTTGTGAAACCACTTATCTGGAAATGTCTGTGAACAATCCACAAACAACTTCAGGTGGAATTGTAAACCTAGGAATGATATTGAAAAAATGTTGCCTAGGTTTTTGGTTTAGAAACAAGGTTATGAATACCTGTTTCCTTTGATGTCTTTTTTTTTCTATTAAAATCCTTTTATGATTCTTTTAATTGACTAAATTATTCATTCATTCATTCATTCATTCATTCATTCATTCACTTTACATCTCAATAGTAACCCTCTTCCTCCTGTCTTCCCAGTCCTACCCACCTTCCATCTTCCAGGTATTGTCACACCTCTTACCCCTCAGAAAAGGGCACCCCATCCCAGTACATCAAGTTGTATCAGGACTGAACGTTTCCTCTACCAAGCCCACCGTGCCAGGAGGAAGTGATAGAAAATCATATAAGAGTCCTTGTCAGAGACAGCCCTGCTCCCTTTACTAGGAGGTCCAGATAAAAACCAAACTGTCTGTGGAGTACTTATGTGTAGGGGGTCTAGGTCAAGTCAATATATGGTCCTTGGTCAGTTCTGATTCCTTTCTTAACTTTTATTTCTGCATTTACATTTAATTTAACTTTATTAAGTTCCACTAAGTATAATGAAAAAATATTAATCATTTTGATTTACCGTATACCTATTGAAACTTGTAAAACATGGGATCAGAAATGTATGATTGCTTCTGGGACGTCATTTTTTTGGGGTGGCAGGTTTTATATACAATTTCTCTGGTGTACTTATTTTTGGCTCTTGTTCCTTTTTTTTTTCCCTCCTCATTCTGCCTTTAAATATTATTTTTTCAGGTAATTCAACATGTAGCCATTAAGGTACTTTTATACATTTAAAAAATCCCATGGAGGCTTTAAGTGAAATGTCGTGGGTGACTTTTGGGTGCTAAACTTAGGCATTTTGGAGAACTGTAGGATCACAAAACTTAATTGGCTGGCATGAGTACAAAGCTGATTTGGTAAAGTACTTGTCATGTGGACATGAGGACTTGAATTCTGTATGCAGTGCCTACACAGAAAGCTAGACATGGTTGAGCATGCTTGTAGTTCCAGCACTGGGGAGACCAAGACATGCAGATCCACAGGCCTTGTTGGACATTTAGTCTAGACTAGTTGGTGAACCTCAGGCTCCATGAGACACCCTGTCAAACAAAGGAAGTGGACCGCTCATGAAAAATGAAAACTGAAGTTGACATCTGACTTACACATGTGCGCGCTCACCTACACATTACAAACATGTGAAGATGCACATACATTAATAGGCTTATTTAGATTATTTCCAATATCATATCTAAAAACATGATGGGCATCAAATAATCCTCTTAAATATTTGATCCACATGAATATAACTTCTTTAAACAATTACTTCAAATCAAGGTGAATATTGAAATGAAGATATTGATTTTAACATACAGTTAGAAAAGCTTTTTATATGTTCTACACATTCCAGAAATGAGATTTCTCGATCAGCCTATGAGTTGTAATTAATGAATACTGAATTAGCTCTGCTATCATAATTGTTGCTGCATGTATTACTTGTGTCAGGGGAGACATTTTGAATTTACACATGGTATGAGAAGAAAAAGGAGGAGGAAGGAGCAGAACGGATTCGTCCAAGTGGAGCTTTGTGTCCTGGAAAGCCTCATTCTCATTGTAATGGCCCCCATTCACAGAATAGCTGGCTGTGAACTTGTTAACATATGCCAGAATTCTTAAACTTATAATGGTGTTACTGTGTGGAAAGCCATCTCAGCAGTCTATGTATTTTAACAGCTTGATAACTTAACTGTTTACAATAAAAGGCCAAAGCAAAATATTGACTTCTAGAATATTAGAATAAGATAAAACCTCATTAATTTATTTCCTGTACTGATTTCTTTGAAGAAAGTCAACGGTGAAGACCTTCAGAATCTGAAACATTCTCTTAGAATGGGGTTCTCTCTAAACAAATCCCACAGACTAACAAAGTATGTAGAAAAATTACCTCATTCTTCCCAGTAGCAGTTTGTTTATTTAGCACCTAATTAATATCACAAAAACTCCCAGTGATTTGAGTTGACATATTTCAAAGTACAGATCATGCCCCAGGGTTCACTTGTATGCATTGTTAAACCTTGCTAATTACACGTTTATATAATAAAGTTGTTCATGCAAGATACATTCTGCAGAATATGCTCTGTTAGAGCTTGGGACATGTGCTGTGGAAACATCTGTTAGTGGCCGTAAATATAGCTTAAGAATACTTGGCATTCAGTTGTGTCCTTGCATTTTCACAATGCTAGGTAAATAAATTAGACTGGCTTACTTCATTTTGTTACAAATGGAGGGGCTTATTCTACTGAAGAGATTTAGCATTGTTTACAATCCAGTAGAAGTCCTACAGAATAATCTTCAGTACCAAACATTGCAGGGAATTGAGGAACACGAGTGCTCCAATAAGCTTTAAAGACAGGATTTTTTTACTCCACATTAATTGCCTATCTTCTGCTTGGAGTTATGATTGGTGCTGCTCAGATCAGGGAGCCTTGCTTACAGGACACAGCAGTGGTCTAAACTTACAGTGGTCTATTAGTCAATGGCAAGAATGTGTGAAAAGTATACCTTTGTACATATTATATATAAAAAAAATCTGAACACAGATTTTTTTTTGTTCTTGTTCATCCACAAAATGAAAAGGATTACTTCTATTGATAATTGTCATTTCAGGGGAAAAAAAGTAGCAAATAATTTTATGTATTCATCATCGATGTTAGATAAGACATGACGAATGCTTTCACAATTCCTTCTGAAATTTAAAACAAAAAAATAAATAAATAAAAAGAAGGCAGCAACTGTAGCTTATCTTCTGTCTGTTGACACCAGCTTTGAACAAATGCTCATCTTAATTCATATTTTGGTATTTTTGTAGAAGATAAATGCAATGAATCATACAAATAAATTGACACAAGCATGTGACACTCCAGGTGTTTCTCCACAATAAACTTCATGAACTTTTATGCCTTCTGCCTCACAGTTGATTACTGCTGGTTTTCTTTTTCTTTTTTCTTTTTCCCCCTTCTGAGTTAATCCCAGTAGGACAACCATGGGACTGATAAACTAAAACTGTGACAGTTATCTCTAACACAAATGTCAATCAACCAGTTCTGTCTAATTGGTGATCCTGACCACCATGTTTGCCCAGGTTTGCAAATATGATTATGTGGAGGTTTGGAGTGGCCTTTCGTCTGAGTCTAAGCTGCATGGCAAATTCTGTGGAGCTGACGTACCTGAAGTGATCACATCCCACTTCAACAACATGAGGATCGAATTCAAGTCGGACAACACGGTATCCAAGAAAGGCTTCAAGGCACATTTTTTCTCAGGTATAAGTGTGTGCATGTTGTGTGTGCACAAGTTTCTATCCTCTGCGTGTACTGCCTTTAGCTGCAATCTTTTCTTCACTGCTTTCTGTTCATGTAAGAGGGAAAGCCTGAGCTAGGTTTAGCAGCTTGATCAATGAAAATGTTAGTTTATAATATAGACCTCAATGAAATGCTTTCCCTAAATAATAGCTCTTTAATAAATTTAAATAGAGCAAAGGCTGGTACAAGAACTATAATATTTTCATATACTGGCTATTCGCTACATGTGTATGTTAATAATGACACCAGACATCCCCCAAATTTCCAGATTTTCCAAATATTTGTTGCTTCAGAAAATGTGATCTCATTGGAGAACTAAATTTGTTTTTCTCTTTTATATTTCTTTAATATATTAGGCTAAAATCAATGTAATGTTTGTCTAGTTTCTACATTGTGGTAGGTATGGAAAATGTAATTTTTAAAGATTTCATTTAAATAATCTTACATAGCTTTCCATAGATATATGGAAGTGTAATTTAAATTTTATTTTATAGAGATATAACAATAACTGCCACTTAAAGGGTTGTCAATGTAAGTAGTCTTTAAAATTAATTAAAAGTACATTTTTTACATAAAAGCCAAAATGTAAAAAATGCCTAATTTTTGCAAATATGTGTATGAACACAAGTAAATCCTGTTTTCTCAGTCTCACTTTTAATAAAGCAGTTTTGAGGGCTGACCTTCAAAATTACATTGTAATAAACTTCCCCATAGAAATCTAGTCTTTGTGTGTAGCTAGCAACATGTTTAACACAGCTGAATCCCAATGATATTTTGATACTAGGTAATTTGGTTTGAGTTAATTCAAATTGTATTCATGCCATCCTATGCCATCTTCCCTCAGCTTAAAATTAATGAGATTTACAGTTGTTCAGGATTTGCTTGCAGTTTTCAGTGTAAGCACTATTGAGTTCCAAGTCAATGGATCTTACTTTCCTTGTTCTCCTTCATTCCTTTCTCTGAGATTTAATTACCTTTTAAATTTTCTTTTCAACCATTTTTTAAGATTTATATTATTCAAAGCAGAATTTAAATATCCTACTCTAATAAAAAGAAGACATTTTTAGACCTATTTATTTTGTAAATATTGTATATCTTGAAGTTTCTAAGTGATCCAGTAATTATGTGGAGAAAAGACTGCCTACCTTAGTACTGCCTAAATATTTATCTTAAAAGTTGAATTTATGAAATGAATGAATTTTTGTAAGCCACTTAAAACATCTAGAATCTTTTACATTACGTTAAGTGAACATTTTATCTAAAAACTGTTTAAAATTTTAATAAAACAAATCCTGATTCCAAAGGATGTTTAACTCTATAGATTAGTTAAGTTTAAATTTTGTTACTTTTGTCCAGACAAGGCTTTGTGAACAGTAGCGTGGATGTGTAAAATGCCTTGTTTTACTCTTATAACATAGATGTATCAAGGCACTCAGCAGGGCATCTGGCACAAGCAAACACATTTGCTTTATGAGCTCTGTGAAATAGCCACATTCCTTGGCAGCGCCTGTAATTGCTAATTAGCTATAAAGCAAGTTCCTTGGTAATAATCATACTCAAGAAGCCAGTCTGATATTGGTATTTATGTCAATCCTCTAATTAAAAAATTGTGTATACAGATTATATAATATGTTAATTTTGAAAAACATCACACAGGTTTATTGTGTAGAGTGATGTCAATGAGTGTAACAAATAATTTAGATAAAGAGACAACTGAAGCCCCCACTCTTCTATTGTTACGTTCATTTGTATGTGTTCATCTAAGGGCTGCGACATCGAAGGAATTAAACACATTGCTCCATGCCACAGTGTATCTACTCCTTGGTTTTTCTTGGTCTGCCAGCCATTTGTTTAACCATAAGAGTCAGCCATGACCTTGGCAACTTTCTGTTTCTCTAATAGATTGCCACTTGGTAAAAACCACAATAATTGTAAGAGAAAATAAAATTCCACTATTCTCTTTTAGTTCCAATGGAAGGTCTTAGAAATCTTTCAGATTCAGGTTTAAAATAGTTTGGATACATAATTAGATCTACAGTACACCTAAACTCTTGGGTCTTTATGTCAAATAAGTAGTACATCTGCCTCCAGGAAAGGAGGGTAAATTTGTATTTGACATAAGTCGCTTCATGACGTGCAAATAAGGGATGGTAAGAGGTGAAAAATACTGACCTATGATGAAAATATAATTGAATTAGTTTTGAATTATCTAATGGCAGACAGTTGAATATGCATGGTACTTTAATATATATACAGAGATGTTTTTATCAAGCCTTAGTCTGAAATTTTTATTCTTGGAAAACTAAAGTTGTTATTTTATTATTTAGAATTATATATTATTATAATCTATGAAATTCTAATCAAGAATATAATATATGGAGATATTTTTACATGCTTTAGAATAAAAATTTCTAGAAAACTTAAACATTTATTATAAAATGAATTGTATCAATTCATTTGGGTAACATATTATTCTATGTTACCCAAAAAGGAAAACTATTTAAAAATTAAGTTCTTGTTCCCCTTACTTTGGAAAACTACTTGGGGACTTGGAAAGGGGCAAGGAGGAGACCAGGGAGGGAGTGTGGGGTTGGGGAGGGAATGAGGGAGCGGGATACAGCTGGGACACAGAATTAACAAAATGTAACTAAAGAGAAAAATAAAATAAACTTGCATTTCAGATGAACAAAAAAAAAATTAAGTTCTATTGCAAGAAGTTATTCATCAGGAATAAAGACAAACAAATGTATTCAAATTTTAATGTATTCAGCAAAATTGATATGCATAGTATTAGTTTTGATATGCCTAATAGAATAATCACAGTAATTCTAGTTTTTTTAGTCATAGCTTTTAGCTGTATCTGCTCCCTCATTCCCTCCCAAACCGTCCCTCCCTCATCTCCTCCCTGCCCCTTTCCAAGTCCACTGATTGGAGAGGGCCTCCTCCCCTTTCATCTGATACTGGTTTATCAGGTATCTTCAGAACTGGCTACAAAGTCATAGCTTTTAAATATGTACTTTTACATTTAACAGGAAGGATAAAAAGTATGTTTTAGAAAACTTATCTGAGAAATTAAAATGATTTGTCCCTTCCATTTTAGAGAAATTAATACAATTTTCATGTATCAATTCTAGGTAATTATAAAATATTAGTCAGAAGAAATTTTAAGTTAATTGATTTTATGTTTGATAAGTCCATGTGTATCTAGAAAAGCCGTTGTTTCTCATTATTGGCTAACTCCAATTGGACTCTTTTTTTACGTGCATGTATATACATATTTGACAAAGCTCCTATGAAAGTAGGTTTCTATATAACTTTACAAAGTTCTTTAGTATTAGTTATCTCTCCTCATACTTATCTACCCTGCCTTCCTATCCTACACCCCACTTAAACTTTATTGCTCCATTATTCCTCATTCCACCTTTATAGCATTTGCATTTTAACTCCCTTCCCTTAGATCACTACATCCTCCATGGACCCTTACTCATTTCCTGATTTCTGTGGGACATCCTTATCTGATAGCCAATGCTGAAGGCCAGGAATAATCTAGGAAGGAGGAGTGGAAAGAATGTAAGAGTCAGAGACGGAGGAGAACTCTAGTAAAACTGTCTTCTGCATACCACAGGCCAGTTGCACTTGTGAGTTCACAGCAGCTATGACAGCATGTACAAGACGTGTATAATCTCAAGCCATACAAAATCCCAGCATGGAGGAGGGAGGTGGCCATTAAGCCCTACCTACTAATTGAGAAATTCTTGGTAATTGATAGCTGCTATAGAAAGTCAGCTTGTCTCAAGGATGTGACCTTTGATATGCCGAACATACTCCAGTGGATGTCCTTTTAGTCCTGCACATACTGGGAATGTTAAGTGGATTCAGTGAGCATTTAGTGAGAGAGAGACAGAGAGAGACAAAGAGAGAGCGCATAGGAAGTTAGGAGTGAAAAGCGGTGGTGGGATATGAGAAACAAGGGTGGGAGCCAGGCTGGATTTGGTCCAAACATTATATGCATGTATGAATACTAAATTAAATATTTTTAAATTGTTCTAAGGTTATTAACAAACCTATTTCCCCCAAGTCCCTTCTACAGGAAACACACTTATCAGATGAAATCAAGAAAATTAGATTGTTTCATATATTACTATAAGCTCACTAGCTCTTGCTGAAAATATCAGCTGTAGAATTCAGATTCAGCCAACCTGAGATTGTTGTGCCGTTTTTGTTTTCATGGGTGGAAGGAGCATCTGAAAGATATTGCATTACATGTGCATCAGGGACAGGCTTCCAGTTGGATTTATATGGAAATGCTGGGCTTAGAATGACAGCTCATTCTCATCCTGTGATAACTGCTGCTCTCACTGGACTGATTGCCTGTTAATCCAGTTTGGCTTTGTTCCCTGTAGTGAATATGCTGGCTATTTCTAAAAGTTTTTATTCATTTCCTATTCTAACTGTTGTTTTACTTATCACATACCAAAAGCCTTTTAGGGGATGACTTATTAATAAACTGACCTACCACACAACTCTTTTATTTTTTTAAATTTTTTATTTATTATTTATTACAACTTATTCACTTTGTATCCCAGCTGTACCTTCCTCTTTCTTCTTCCAATCCCTCCCTCCCTCTTCTCCCCCTATGTCCCTCCCTTAGTCTACCTATAGAGGAGGTCTTTCTCCCCTTCTGTCTGATTCTAGCCTATCAGGTCTCATCAGGACTGGCTGCATCAGCTTCCTCTGTGGCTTGGCAAGGCTGCAACCCCCATTGGGAGATGATCAGAGAGCCTGCCTCTGAGTTAATGTCTCTGGCAGGAACTCACTTGGAGACTGAGTCTATGGTCTACATCTGTGCAAGGGTTTTAGGTCTTCTAGATACATGGTCCTTGGTTGAGGTATCAGGGCCCCCAGGGCTCAGGGTTTGTTTGTTTGTTTGTTTTCTTTTTGGCTCTGTTGGTCTCCTTTTGATGCTCCTGTCCTCATTAGGTCTTTCTATATCCCCCTTCTTTCATAAAATTCCATGTACTCTGCCCAAAGTTTGGCTATGAATTTTAGCCTCTGCTTCAATACCTTGATCAGTAGAATCTTTCAGAGGCCCTCTGTGTTAAGCTCCTGTCCTGTTCCCTGTCTTTCTCTGCTTCCGATGTCTATTGCATTTTTCCTTCTGAGGGAGGATTAAGCATCTTCCCTAGGGTCTTCCTTGTTGTATAGCTTCTTTAGGACTTAGATTTTAGTATGTTTATCCTATATTGAAGATAATGGCTAAGATAAAAATCTCAAGTGATGACACATGCTGGAAAGGGTGTAGAGAAAGGGGAACCCTCCTCCATTACTGGTGGGAATGTAAACTTGTACAACCACTTTGGAAATCAATCTGGCGCTTTCTCAGACAATTCAGAATAGTGATACCTCAAGATCCAGCTATAGGAAATATAGGCATATATATAGGCATATATCCAAAATATTCTCAAGTATACAAAAAGGACATTTGCCCAGCCATGTTTATAGCAGCTTTATTCATAATCGCCCGAAGCTGGAAACAACCTACATATCCCTCAGCTGAGGAATGGATACAGAAATTGTGGTACTTTTATACAATGGAATACTACTCAGTAATTAAAAATAAGTAAATCATGAAATTTGCAGATAAGCAGTGGGAACAAGAAAAGATCAAAGATCTTGTGTGAGGTAACCCAGCACCAGATCACTCTTTAAAATACATAAATTTAGACCCATGTTTGGAATGAACTATGAATGCCTTTTTTTCTGCCTTTGTTGTGAAATGCCCAAAGTAATTAAGTCTATGTATATCTGTAAAATTAATGACAACAAAACAATTACCATAATTACATTAAGCAATTTTTAAGACAGACTGCACACATATCTTGGAAACTTGTTTAGCTTTCTGTTGTGGTTGTACTTTTGCCTTTCTGTACCTCATGTCTTCATTATTTAAAACTTATTTTTGAAAACTGGTAACAATTGCTAAATATTTCTTTGCTAGATAAGGATGAATGCTCAAAGGATAATGGTGGCTGTCAACACGAGTGTGTCAACACAATGGGAAGTTACATGTGTCAGTGCCGGAATGGATTTGTGTTGCACGAGAACAAACATGATTGCAAAGAAGGTATGGGAAGAAATTATCTCTTCTTGACAACACCTCAAAACTATCATAGGTTGATTGAAGCCTGGCTTATATGCTGGTGGACTCTCCAAACCTAAAATTAAAAAAAATAAATAAATAAACTAAGGAATTCTATGTAGTGTTTAGGGATTCAAAGGATGCTTTCTGACACCTCATTAAATGACCCAAAGGTTTTGCACCTCACACATGGATGGCATTCAACTTTCTAACTTATTTAATAGAGAAGCTGCTACAAGGCCTTCTGGTAGATGCAATTTCATCCCCTAGTTCCAGGTCTTCTTAGAGAGACCTTATAACACGCTCTGAAGATAATGCCCTCAAAGTAGTTTATATTTGGTGTGACATTCCTCCTGAATATAACGTACATTTGCTATATGTGTGATGCCCCTTTAAATATCAGAAGTATCAAACTCAAAGGGTAGATTTTGTGCCATTTAAAGTCATAAGCAAGAGTTTAGAGAGGGGAAAGTATCCTAGCTGTATGATAATAACTTACTAGAGTTTTGTTTTTAAGATTTTGTTAAATGACCTTAATTTTGGCTACTGTGAGTTAAGTGGCAACAAAAGGCAGTTATCTATTTCTTTCTTCTTAGTGGGTCTGTTGTAGAATTGCTTACTTAGACTGGAATCAAGCCTCTCTTGAAAGAACAATTATTTTTTTAAAAATTTATAACTGCATTGTCAGTATGTGATCTGTATAAAATCAGAGATCTTTGAGGATTTTTTAAATACATCTTAGAATCACACATAATATCAATATGGACCTTCCTTTCAGAAAGAATTACATATCAGGGATTTTTTTCTTTTTCTTTGAGATAATGGCATTTTGCAGAATCACAGGCAAGCAAGGAGTTTTGCCCTCTACATTTATGAACAGGATGTTTATAACTTGGTGGGGCATGCTACTAAATCAAAGACTGGGACAAAAGGCCAATGATTTTGTAGACACATAAAGTAATTCAAAGAAAGGAAAACAGCTTTTACAGATTATGTGTGGAATCCGTGCTCAAATCTGTTTCTGACAGTAGCTTTCTGGAACTTATTTTATAGAAAACTTCCTGTTAGAAAAATGATTTCCAGATACTCCCTATTGTGGTTCATTTTTATTGCCAGGAAAGGGGTTGAGTTTTCCTCTACTTGTGTTGCACAGTACACACCTTGTCCTGCCTTGTGGGAGACTCCAGCTTTGCCATGAGCTGTCTCACATCCTGTAGATGTCCTGTTTCATAGGGCAAAGCTCATGGCCACTAGAAGCCAGGTCTCAGTCCAGAATTTTATCTTTTTGCAGTGTTCGGCCTCATGCACGCTATGCATCTGCTCTACCATTGAGATTTTAAGCTACCTTCTTGCTACATATTTCTTCTTCTTCTTCTTCTTCTTCTTCTTCTTCTTCTTCTTCTTCTT